CAGGACAATTATCAGTACATGACAGCTCGGCGACATACTGTCCCACTCGCTATCGTTGTGCATGAGGAACATCCGCATTGGCTAACAGCGCTCCGCAAAACCTCGTTTATTCATTCGTTCACACCAATTCGGAAGACGCATTGCCGATTGAGGCAGGAAGGCAGCCCCTGTCTACTGGGGCACTTTAATAATAATCTTCGTCAGTTGGAAATGATCCGACCGCCCTATGCGCCGCCTCCTGCATAACATGTTGAGCTGCAGTGGCTTATACATCGAGTTACATCTCATTAGAGGATCAACGGCAACTTTATCCCTGTGCATCCCCTTTCTTTCAATTGCCCAAGCCGCTACCAAACGGCCAAACCGAACCGTTGGTACCAATGGCCAAAAAAATTGACATCTGGCATTCGGTTGATACCAATCATTTTTATTTAAATACAGTTATTGTTTTGCAGTCGAGCGAAAATACAAAAACGAGGATGTTGATTTTGCTTATCATATCTCCAATTTGCATGTTCGTTGATGGGAACAGGCATCCCGTGATTGCTTCACGTTAAAAAACAAAAAACAAATCACATTTAATCAGCGCGACATTGATCATGTACGTTAATATACGTTTGCACGCGATGCCTGTCCGTTGAAATCAATCACGCGCAAGTCAACTCAAACTATGTGATGAAATTAAACTTACTTAGCTACCTTCACGTGATAATAAACTGTGGCAGGGTCAATATAAGGATAATGTAACGTTACAGTCAGGCTAGGCAAAGTGGATGTGTATTGTACCATGATGACCAACTGACTGTAACGTTTCACTATCCCGCTTATTTATACACCCATTTACCAAATAAATAAATACAATGGCATTATTTTGATTTATTTACTTATTATTATTGTTATACATGTTATATATTGTTTACATTAGATTAAAGCTTCCGCTAAAAAAAACAGTCCATCTAAGTAGGAAACAAAAGGTTTTTCAACAAGACGAACAACAAATAACATTACAATATTATTTGATGTATTTCTAGCTGCAATTCAAGTCGCTTTTTAAGTGGACTAGTTGGCAAACTTATTTAGCTACAATTCCACCCAGCTCTTTCGCTACCTGTTCGTTGTTGCTCCGACCGATGTTTGCGCAAACTGGCGATTCTGACTCGCGTTACAAACAGAGAGACCGCGGAGTAATTTTAGAGACATGCTAGTAGCGCCGGTATGTTGCCATGGGCAACGGTAAAACGTCGAGATTGACTAGTAGTATTTTATAGTCTTTGGTAGTAGTCAGAATCAAGTATTCAGGAGAGTCGTTAAATAAATATTTGTCATGTGTTTGGATGTCATATACTTGATGAAAATGTAAGACTATCATCTTGCTCTACTCACGTAAAGATCCCTATAGAACTTAATCTCTCTTTGAAGATCAATCAATGAGAAAACTCAGAAAGCATTTGCCACTTTATCTGCTCCATTGCTCAGTAAGGTCAATCTTTCTTTGATCCACATTCCCAAAAACTCTTTTGCCAAACATTAATCAGGACTGTCAAATTAAATTAATGTGGTTATCCAACAAGCTCTGTTCCTGTTGGGCTCCAAACCTTTAGTTAAGGCTCACTCACACTACTTTGCCAATGGTCTTGGTCATCAGCCAATGAAAGGGACCATTCTGAATAGGCAGACAAAAGACAGACATGAAGACATCATCATGATGTTAATCAGCACTCATTAGTCTCCTTTAAACAATAAGTTCAATGGCTGTAGGACAACTGATGGTCTGTCTTCAGAAACTCAACTCTTAACAATCTTAGGTCAAAGCCACACTAGGGCACATGCTGTGAATGAGAAGATAAAATAAGTATAGAGAAAAAGAACTTAAAATAGAAGTATTTTGACGTCATGGTTTAATATAATCCTTCCGAATGTGTCTTCCTATAGTGTTGTAATAGTGGATCAGAAATTATCCTTATGAGGAAAACTCCAGAGTCCAGATTCCCACCCCAGTGTTATCCTATTTTAAGAATCACTTTTGCTTGGATGTTTTTGCAGTACGTCACCAAACAAGCCAACTGCAGATTTAAATAACTCCCACTCTCTTCTAAATACAACATCTGACCAACCATAAGACATTACGATTGTGCATTGTTGAGTTGTTCTTCACACTTTCTTGTCTGTATGATCCCATAACATGAGATCTCAGATCATCAAACAAATTTAAATATTAGTAAAAGATAACACAAGTGAACACAACATGCAGTTTTTAAATGAAGGTTTTTATTATTAAGGGAAAACAAAATCCAAAACTACATGGCCCTGTGTGAAAAAGTGTTTGCCCCCTAAACCTAATAACTGGTTGGGCCACCCTTAGCAGCAACAACTGCAATCAAGCGTTTGCGATAACTTGCAATGAGTCTGTTACAGCGCTGTGGAGGAATTTTGGTCCACTCATCTATGCAGAATTGTTGTAATTCAGCCACATTGGAGGGTTTTTGAGCATGAACCGCCTTTTTAAGGTCATGCCACAGCATCTCAATAGGATTCAGGTCAGGACTTTGACTAGGCCACTCCAAAGTCTTCATTTTGTTTTTCTTCAGCCATTCAGAGGTGGACTTGCTGGTGTGTTTTGGATCATTGTCCTGCTGCAGAACCCAAGTTCGCTTCAGCTTGAGGTCACGAACAGATGGCCGGACATTCTCCTTCAGGATTTTTTGGTAAACAGCAGAATTCATGGTTCCATTTATCACAGCAAGTCTTCCAGGTCCTGAAGCAGCAAAACAGCCCCAGACCATCACACTACCACCACCATATTTTACTGTTGGTATGATGTTCTTTTTCTGAAATGCAGTGTTACTTTTACGCCAGACGTAATGGGACACACACCTTCCAAAAAGTTCAACTTTTGTCTCGTCAGTCCACAGAGTATTTTCCCAAAAGTCTTGGGGATCATCAAGATGTTTTCTGGCAAAACTGAGACGAGCCTTTGTTCTTTTTGCTCAGCAGCGGTTTTCGTCTTGGAACTCTGCCATGCAGACCATTTTTGCCCAGTCTCTTTCTTATGGTGGAGTCATGAACACTGACCTTAACTGAGGCAAGTGAGGCCTGCAGTTTTTGGATGTTGTTGTGGGGTCTTTTGTGACCTCTTGGATGAGTCGTCGCTGTGCTCTTGGGGTAATTTTGGTCGGCCGGCCACTCCTGTCCAAAATCCAAAACTGTTCCATGTTTTTGCCATTTGTGAATAATGGCTCTCACTGTGGTTCGCTGGAGTCCCAAAGCTTTAGAAATGGCTTTATAACCTTTTCCAGACTGATAGATCTCAATTACTTTCTTTCTCATTTGTTTCTGAATTTCTTTGGATCTCGGCATGATGTCTAGCTTTTGAGGATCTTTTGGTCTACTTCACTTTGTCAGGCAGGTCCTATTTAAGAGATTTCTTGATTGTGAACAGGTGTGGCAGTAATCAGGCCTGGGTGTGGCTAGAGAAATTGAACTCAGGTGTGATAAACCACAGTTTTAACAGGGGGGCAAACACTTCTTCACACAGGGCCATGTAGTTTTGGATTTTGTTTTCCCTTAATAATAAAAACCTTCATTTAAAAACTGCATGTTGTGTTTACTTGTGTTATCTTTGACTAATATTTAAATTTGTTTGATGATCTGAAACATTAAAGTGTGACAAACATGCAAAAAAATAAGAAATCAGGAAGGGGGCCAACACTTTTTCACACCACTGTAAGTGGAAATGTTTCTATTTTCTTTTTGTTTTACTTCCTGCTCTTGTTGCTTAACGTCAGGCAGTGTGCTCTTCAATAGCTTGGCCGGGACTGCTGCAGTGTGTGATTCCAACAGCAGCCATAGGGAGGCCCTTGTTTTGATTTGAAAAGCATCGGTTGTTTCTTTAAGAGAGCTAGACCGAGGGGAGGACACACAGCGAGAGGAATGAGATCATTCTTCGAGGACTGGATGAATCAGCTTTTCTGTGAACACATACACAAAACCAGTTCCATTCCACAGCTCTCCTGCAAATGAGCATTTGGCTCCTAGATGTCCATTAAAAAGGCATTAGTCAGTGAAATTTAAATGAAACATGTCATTCGATGTAGTGAAATAATTTATGACTGAGAATTACCTTTGCTTAATTTAATTTCTGAGTATCATTAAATTAGATAACGTAATATGGGTTTTGTAAGAAGGCACCAAAGCTGGTGCAAGCACCATCCAGTCAGCTCCTGCCAACACTTCAATTAACAAGAGCAACGATTCAACACAAGGTGCTTGGTGAACACATGCCAGATGCTTTGCAAAGTAAAATGTTGATAACGTTCTCAAGCTTCACAGGAGACCACTGTTTCAACTTTTTCTGTTATAGAAGAGTTAAACAGAGCAGAAAACATGCTGCGTATTTACGTTTACAAATGTCTTAAAAGAAACATTCTGCACAGCTAGTGATTGAACATATTTACATTTCCCCCTCCAAACTTTGACTGAAAAGTGACTACAGTAACAGTGCATACTTCTGAAAAATGCTGCACAGCATTTTTGATCATATTGAATTCTTGAAACACAAGAAAAAAGACATCTACTTATGATCACGCAAACGATTCAGATAAACCAATAATGTTCATCAAGAGGCTCTAATGGAGGCTTAGTCATGCTCTGATAACAGACTGGCATCATTTTACTTGGTACTCAGCAGATAATCTGCTCTATCATGCACATGGTAGCCATGGAACCAGAATTAGAACAAATGAGACGCCTAATGGTTAAAGCCTGAATTTTTATGGGCAGGGCATGTCATAAGATTTACACAGATAAATGTTATCTTACCGTTTTGAAACGTCCTTTAAAAACAGCTTTAAGAGCTTAAAGCATGAAGCAACAAGTGGCTATAACACCTATTAACTAACTAATTTAAAGACATGAATAGACAGCATGTATAAAGTAATAATTGCTGCCAGCTACAGTAAGCAAAAACCACAATATGAAAAGGATAAAGCAAACCAGCTAAACAATGGAGGTGGAAAAGTTTATTTTTTTAAAAACAGTTCAAAGTACATAGTTACATAGAGAGACACATAAGACAGACACCCCCAAAAACGTTGACTACAGGGCAACGGAATATCTTAAAAGGAAAAAAGGCCATTACTGCATACAAAAAAGCAACCTCAAGGTTTAACTAAAACCACAATGTGGTACTGAAATTAAAAAAGGAAAAGCAAACAAAAAAGATTACCATGTATAAATATGGAATCATAAATAAAAATGACTTTAAAATTTTCCTCTATGTAAATTTCCTTTTGCTTGATGCATGATCTCAGTAGGGTCTGTCTCTGCGCTCCTGACGATGATCCCTGTAAAAGAAAAGAAAATATGCATCAAGTACATGAAGCACCACACAGACTAAAGCATATTACATTTATCCTGTTATACTCACAGTAAGTGACGCTCACCTCATATCCATCTTGCCTGGGGGTCCCATGCCTCTCCTGCCCCCTCTGTCCATGGGAGGACCACCCCTGCTACCTCCTCTGAATCCGCCCCTGTCCATTCCACCACGGCCTCCTCTGAAGCCACCGCGATCTCCTCCCCAGCCTCCACGCATGCCCCCCGGACCACCACGATCCATTCCCCTGCCGCCCCTCATTCCACCCCTGCCACGATCACCACCTGAATATACAGTTAAAACAAATCATGCTTTTTCTGTTACACAACACAAATCTCAGTCACAGACACTTCGAGACCAGCTGATGAGGGAAGACTGTTAATCTGCGTGTACCTGCAGGAGGGAAGGAAGGAGCTCCAAGGCCTTCAGGTTTTGGAGCTTTACATTGGTTACACTCTGTTCTCCAGGAGAAGTTTTGATTTCCACATCCACTGTAATGAGATTTGAGGTAGACAGCCAGAAACAGACATCAACATCGTTTTTATGCTTATTCAGCAGGCCTCATGTATTGCAAAATAGATGCCTCATATTTTGTTTGCTTAAACAGTTATGCATCACTCACGGGCTGGGACATTCCCAGTCTCCAGCTCTCTTCTGCACGTTGCCTCCGGGAGGCCCGTTCCAACCCATTCCACCTCGAGGGCCTCCACGAGGGGGGAAACCACCTCGCTCTCCTCCTCTTCCCATACCTGATAGCATATAATACAAAGCCATCATTACAATACAGGAACACCCTCCACTTGAAGGATTCCTGCTGGCT